TACTGTCTCTTTCAGGCTGTTCTCCCCTGGCGACAGGGTCACAAAACCCACAAAGCACACAGATTTGCAATTAGATCTGCTCTGAAAAATACAACAGGAGAAACTGTATGTTTTACAGAAATTGCCCAAGCAGCTTTAGAAAAAGCTAAGAAAGCTCTGCACCCCCCTTTGCCCAAAATCTGCAAGCTTGGGAAAGAAATATTTAGATGAACCTCCTCCCAAAGTTTGCAGAAGAAAGTAGGTATTTCTTGCAAAAGCAAATGCAGAAGGAAAAGATTTTCCTTTGAAACCTAATTTCAGTGGAAATTTTTCAAGGAGCTTTAGTGAGCTGTGGAGCTCAGCATGCCCTCTGGTGCCAAAGCCAGGTTTCACAGGCCCAGGGACCTACCAGCTCCCTACAGCAAAGCCAGAGATAAGCTTAAAAAGGAAAAACATAAAAACAATCCCACTCTTGTGGTGATATTCAGCCTTTTTTTTTTTTCCAGAAAAATTCCTACAAAAGATTAAAAATAATGTGAGGGTTAAATATTTGTGTGCTTTGTGTAAGAATAAAGCCTCTGAGTTACAAGAAGTGGATGGGTGTCTCGTTCGGTCCCTGTAATGATCTGTATCGCTGTGCCACTTTTACACAAAAGGAAGCAGAAACGGGATTTGCCTGTGGTCAGACTGAAGCCAGCAGAGTCTTTGCAGGGAAAAAAAGTCAAAACATCCTGAAATGGGACACGCCAGCCAAGCTCCAGCACCAGTTCAGCCAGTGCTGTTGTGTGACTGGACTGTACTTTTTCAGCTCCTAATTTCCCTCCCCTTAAAAAGCGGGCAATAATGATACATCCCGATCTTGGGAATACTGGTAGGTGGTGTTTTCCAGCAGACATGCTGGCTCTGCAACAACACTTGCAAAATAAACTTGGTGTCTGACTGCCAGTTCCAGATTTCCTCTCTTTGATGTAATATGGAGAAGGCAGCGATCCCCACTTTCAGAAGGCGAAGACTTTCAAAGTGACTAGAAAGACACCAGCACTAGGCTGATGACATAAATCACTTTGATGAGCCTTCAGGTATCTCCTGTGACTTGACTTAGGGCTCTCTTTGCCAAAATGGAATAATTTTATCTCCCCAGTGATCCCACAGCTGTCTGGGCAATCCTGCTGCAGGGAAACCTGAGCTGCTTCTGAATCAGCGCCTGAGCCTCAGCAGTTTACAGGACTGAACTTTAAGACTAAGCAAAAGCAGTAGTCTCACTTTGAAAAGCTGCATATGGATTGTGGCAGATCAAAAAGAGGGGTCACAGCCATGCATTCATACCCCACAGATCCAGTGATTAGCTGGTGACAGCTATGGCACCAAGGAATCCCATGCAAAACCATCCTCCTGCATTAATCCAAATGTCAGGTCTCTGAAAACTCCTGGTTTGTGTAAGCCTGTCGTTGTTTGAGACTACAGGCTTGCATTCGTAGCTGCTGCGCTAGACAGAATACTCTGGAAGGGCCAAATCCATAGAGAAGCTGGATTTCTGCAAAGGCCACCTACATCACACATCCAGTTTGTTTATTTAGCTGCCTAAATGAAAGCTTGGTGTCTAGCTTTCATAATCCAGTAACCTTTTGGCCACCTTTGTGGATCTACTAAGCCTAGGCTGACAGAACTCTGAAACAGGAATCAGTTTTTCATTGCCAAGTGCAATCGTTTCCCAGATCCTGTGACTCTGCAGTGAAGAGTGGTGGCCATCCCTGCCTGTGACACAATGTCCCAAACAGGGGAACGTGCCACTGCGCTCATCCACATTAGAAAAGCCCGTGTGAAAGCTGTTTATTTTCACTGCCCAATCATCTGGGACACAGAGCTCAGTACATTGCAACTCTGCCTCATTCCACGCTCCAGGTAAATAAGCGTGGGAGTAGCTCAAAAGAAGGACGTGTCTTCATTCAACAAGAGCTCCTGATGTGCTTTGTTTGTCTCCACATAAGCAACTGGGAACAGATGTCTCAGCCTTTTTGTACCAGTCACTCATTCGACAAAAGCTCTGTCTAATTTGTACAGCATCCTTGTTCTCACACCCTTAACTCATCATTACGCAGACACAAAATATCAATGCCCAGCCTTGTGATGCTGCAGGGAGGAGGTCTGAGTCTTCAGCAATAAGGAAGAAAACACATGAAAGGGGTCAAATCTCAAACCTTGCACCACTTGGTATGGGTACTACTCTACTGCAACAGGATCATGTACTTTTAAGCCAGCTGAGAGAGGGCAATACTTAACGATAGGGTTTTAAGGTGTTTTCCCAGGATCGGACATTTTGCTGGCCTCCTTTCCCTGAAATGCAAGATACCTCTATTTTGCCCCAGACACCAGACAGCAACGTTTAAGAAGTCTTTAACCCCTACACACTGCCTTAGAGTCTTTACTGGCTCTACACTTGTACTTTTATCTCCTTCCAGTACCTTTTAACTTCTACCTTCCATAGCAAGGAATACAGGCTTTGTGAAGGAGTTGCTTAACCACAGTAACTTTACTCTTAGAAACCACAAGAATTACAAGCTTTAAGCTCCCAGAAAAAAACCCTAAAAACCCCCAAAAGCACTTTCCTACCCCAAGCCAGCTGCTTCTCCAGGATCACAGTTCACTAATAGCTCAAACCAGACACATTCTTTCCTGCTTACTTTTTCCTATGCATCTTTCTCACATGAGGGTCATCACTGACAGAGGCCACAAATCCCTTCTGAAACTCAGCCCCAATTTCAGTATCAGACACACAACAACATGTAGCACTCTCCCAGGATCACTAGCCTTGCTCATCCTCCCACGCTGGCACAGACGAAGTCACTTTGCCCGGGGATGCACAGAGACAGCAGCATGAAGCACTAGGCACAACCCTTCTCTAGCATCATGCCCAGAACATAGAGAAAAACTTACATTTTGTACTTTATTTGGTATGAAAGGACCAAAATAGGACTTACCAGCTGATGCGTGCACAGTCCTACTTCCAGTATGTACCTGGAAAAATCTCTTCCACCACTCCAAGCAAAAGAGAGCACCTCAGGCCCATAGCTGACCTTTATTTCCAGATTTAAAGGGTTATCCATCAGGCAGCACTGAGGGCAAAGCTGCCAGTCGTGACTAAGCTGATTACCCAGAACTGCAGACTGTGTGCTATGTGGAAGTATTGTTTTTCTTTCTTCTTAAGAAAGAATATCATAGCTTGCTGCATATATATCCAGATCTGTTGCAATTGTTGCATTTGCTGGTGGTTAGTTACCAGCTAATGGCATTCTGACAAATTGAAAACTATTGTTCCCTTTTCTATCTTTTTTCTGTTTAATCATTTGGGTCAAAACAGCTAACGGGAACTCCCTTAACGAGAAAGATGGGGAAAAGATGGATGGCTAAAAGCAGCCAAATAACCTACAGCTTGCATTTGGTTAAGGGCAGGTGATCTGCCTCTTGTAAAGACCTTTTTCTTTCTACTGACAAAAAATGTTCCTGAATGATTAAAGTTAGGTGTGATGGGTCCCACCGCTTACCTCAGTGCATTTCAGTGCCTGGTGTTTTGAAGAAATAGTGCCCCTGGTTGCAGAAACAAAAATGTTGATTGTCCCATCTCTTCTAGCATCTTGTCTAAGACAGTAGCCATCAGAAAGTGCTCAAAGGAAACATGAAGCCCAGCCAGTGACAGTCATAGAGTCATAAAATCACAGAATAATTTAGATCATTGAGTCCAACTATTAAGCCAGCACTGACAAGACCACCACTAAACCATGTCGCTAAGTGCCACAGTATCTGCATGTCTTAAATACCTCCAGGGATGGCGACTCAACCAATTCAACCTGGGCAGGTTGTTCCAAAGCTTGACAACCCTTTCAGTGGAGAAATTGTTCCTAATATCCAGCCTAAACCTCCCCTGGTGCAACTTGAGGCCATTACCTCGTGTTCTATCTACTTGGGAGAAGAGACTGACACCCACCTTGCCACAACCTCCTTTCAGACAGAGAGTGATAAGGTTCCCACTGAGCCTTCTCTTCTCCTAGCTAAACACCCCCAGTTCCCTCAGCTGCTCCTCATCACACTTCTGCTCCAGACCCTTCACCAGCTCTGTTGCCCTTCTCTGGCCCCGCTCCAGCACCTCAATGTCTCTCTTGCAGTGAGGGGCCCAGAACTGAACACAGGATTCGAGGTGCAGCCTCACCAGTGTGTAGAGTACAGGGGGGTGATCACTGCCCTGGCCCTGCTGCCACGCTACTGCTGGAACAGGCCAGGATGCTGCTGGCCTTCTTGGCTGCCTGGGCACATGCTGGCACATATTCAGCCGGCTGTCGACCAATACCCCCAGGTCCTTTTCCACCACGCAGTTTTCCAGCCACTCTTCCCGAAGCCCATAGTGTTCCGTGGGGTTTTTGCGACCCAAGTACAGGACCCGGCACTTTGCCTTGTTGAACCTCATATAATTGGCCTTGGCCCATCAATCCAGACTGTCCAAATTCCTCTGTGGAGCTTTTCGATCCTCCAGCAGATCAGTGCTCCCACCCAACTTGGTGTCATCTGCAAACTTAATGAAGGTGCACTCAATCCCCTCATCCACATCACTGATAAAGACATGAAGCCGAACTGGCCTTTGAACACCCGACCAAAGAAAAGATGTCTCTCTAATTCCCTGTAAGTTTGAGGCTTGTCTGTGCCCTGAAGGAAGAGAATTTAATATTCCTTGCAAAATCCCTGGCTCTGGGTAGTCTACATTATTATAAGTCTGTACAAATTTGTTTTCCACCAAAAATACCCAGTATTTTTCTAACCTTGCTGAGCTCTTGACCACCGCAAGTACTTATGACTCTTAATATCACAAGGAGACTGTGTGGGGAAACTGGGCACTCTCAACACGCTTAAACTGCAACTTTGACTCTTTTCCAGGGTTTCTAGATAAACCCCATGGGGAGGCAGCAGCCTGTTTGACACAGATGGCTCTGTCACCTTAGCAATCGTTCATGTGGTTTCTCCTGTCTCCCCAGGGCGTGAATCCCCGGCTCCGGATTAATGGGCCAATGAACATCAACCACTACGCGACGAAGAAGAGTGTGGCAGAGAGCATGCTGGACGTGGCACTGTTCATGGCGAATGTCACACAGCTCAAAGCAGTGCTGGAGCAGGGGCCATCCTTCCAGTACTATGCCACCCTTATTGTGCTCATCAGCATCTCCCTCTTCTTCCAGGTGGTGATCGGGATTCTCCTCATCATCACTGGTAAGGCGGCCACCAAGGCACGTGCAGGGTGCTGCAGGGGCAGGGCACCCCATTGGCTGGCATGGGGGTGGAAGGCAGAAGCCTGTCTGCCCAAATCGTCCCCCCTGGCTCCAGCCAGGAGAGTTGAAGACAGCTTGATGCGGGCAGTGGGGAGGTCTGTGTTACTGCTTTTCAAAGCGGTGAGTGGGTTGGGTTTTTCTCTTGCATAACAGTGCTGAGCATTACTTTTCCCTCACTTCCCCACTGCTAAATCCCTCTTGCAAGGAGAGGGCTGGGTTTTGCGCCTCTTGCTGACCATCCTGTAACATGCTCCTTCAAGCAGCTCCTGCAGATACTGCATTTTAGCTGTATCTTTTACCTGACTCAAGCTGGGGCTAAAAGGAACAATTTAGAAAGAGGTATTCCCTATATCAACCTCACATTTAACCAGTCCCACGGTTTTCCTAGTGCCATACAGACAGCACATTAACACTAGCATTTCAGACAGGCTTGTCCCATGCTCCATCTGATACTGGGGTTGCTATACTTCAGCCTTCAACACATGCCCAGTATTAAAAGTCTGAAAAATGCTGCTTTTTCCTGTATAACCTGTGTGGTTTTTAATGTGGGACGTGGGATCAGAATCTACGTGAAATCCTGTGATGTGTTCCTTCCCCTGCCCCACATGGCACAGCCTTTCCTGGTGGCAGCCGTGGTGGCTGGAGCCAGCTGTGAGGACAAGGGGGACAGGGGGCCACAAGGCTGCCATTCATGTGGCTTATTGGCCAGACAGCCCCAGTAGTCAGAGTGTTCCCATGTCTGATTAACACCCATCAGCTAAGAGCTGATTCCATTCATGCACTCAGATACCTCTTGGGTATCAGCACATATGTTCTTGGTGTAAAGGAAGAACTGTCCTCTCAACCTGAATACAACATTGCTGACCTCGTCTCTAAGGCCACCTTGCCTTGACTTGCCGTGTTTCATGGCCATGCAGCGAGAGGGGTCATATGGCACATGTCTGGCTAGCATGCAGCAGCAGTTTGGCTCTTTAGGGTTGGCCCATTGGAGGGGCATGGCAAAACAATAACATTTAAAACCAGATGTTTTTCCTCTGCTCTGACCTCCTGTGTCATCCCAGGGCAAGCTGTGGCCCCTGTAAAGTTCCTGGGACTATTCCTCGAGCTCTGTGGCTGCAGTGCCGAGGGGCACCACGGACATTCACTGGTCAGGGAAGGCTTGCAGGGGCTGGAGGACTTGGAGTCAAGCTACAAATCTCCCTTTCTTTTTGCATTGTGTTGCACAGCGCGTTTGAACCTGAACGATGTTGCAAAACAACCTCGCCTGAATATACTCAACAATGCTGCCACAGCTCTCATCTTCATCACAGTCATCCTCAACATCTTCATCACAGCTTTTGGGGTGCAGAAGACTGGTCTCTACCCTAACAGGAATTTTAGACCTTATTAAGTCACTGGGCAATGGAGTCAGGTAAGAAAGGGGTGAGTTCCCATCACTGCTAGCCCCTAGAAGGGCTCAGAAAACATCATTTCAAGGTGGAGAAGGAGAAGGCAAAGCTGCACAAATTAATAAAGCCTTTCCAGAGGCATGTTGTTGTCCCACAAGCCTCTGGGGCCATTGAACAAATTCCCTCAGAGAAGGAGGATTTCTCCTTACTTGTCTTTAAAAGAAGAACACTGAACACCCCAACTGTTGAGATTTAACAGCAACAAGTGGTTTTCAGAAGGCTGTAGACCTCATGATAGTTACAGATAGCAGTTGTGGATGGGAGCTAAATTTGGGGAAGAAAACAAGGTGCGTTCTAGGAGGTATCCAAAGGTGGCAGCATTTTCTGAGCAGAAGAAAAGGAACGTGCTGGTGAGGTGGGGGAAAAGCTCTTCACAACAGCCAGTGTGGTTTGGTGGGGGCTGTTTTAGGAATCTAACTCTCATTTTCAAGAGTCTTTTGAATAAGAGTCCAACTAAATGCCTGGTCCCATGTCAGGTCAATGAGGGAATGACATGTTTTTAGGTCAAAAGTGCTTTAGGTCAAGAAGCAAAGTTCACATCCCTTGCTTGCATGACCTGCAACATGTAAACATAGTTTAAATGCAATATACTGAGGCAACAGCTGGCAAGAAAGCTCTGTAGACAACATATGATGAGGGAGGATGCTTAAAGCCAAAAGCCTCTATAAAAACACTGCTGGCTTGGGATCCAGAAGGGTTTGAGCACTGAGGAGTAGCACCTCACACCCATAGGGGTGGCGAAGTGACCCAGTACCTCATGGCTGTGCCTCTCTGCCCATGTAGTGCAAAGGAGCCTGCTGCACCCTTATACTGGTGTTTCTTGTCTTCCCTGCAGGATCTGAGCAGCAAGCTGGCGGCGAAAGCTCTTCTCTGTGTTTTCACTGACCTCAGCAGGAGCCCACCGATGAATCCAGAGAACCGGGTTAAACTTTCCAAACTGTGTGTGTGTGATGGTGCACCAGCCCCTTACCATAATGCTTTTGCAGTTCTGAAGAGGTGAAAGCATCACCTTTCAAAACCAGAGCAAACTTTGCTAGAGAAAGCTGCAGGAACAGCAGCAGGTACACAATTTCAAAGCACAGTTCTGTAAATCTCATCTCTTATTTTAGTTGCCTGCTTCATATATTCAATATTGGCTCATTTCGTAGAGAGGACTGAACAATTTACTTTGTAGGCTAAATAAACAAGAGAAGTCCAGCTTGTTTTGTCTCAAGCATAAGTTGCTATACTTAAAGCAATGCTATCCAATAGTTTACCTCCCAAATGTCAGAATTAATTTCTCAAACTATAAATAAAAAAAAGCAGTTTTATGGGAGGATAGAAAAGTGTGTGTGTGTCTTTGGAGCTAAAATCAGTTCACATATTTTCCAAGTTGTTTGAAATTAAATATGAAACAGTTAAGAAAACAATCAGATATTTCCAGCATTGGAAAACTAACGATGACAGAAAACAGATATTCTGGTATGATGTCATTGCCAGGGACCTATCAAGAATGATGTAAGAATAGCCTGACAATACTCAGTAGAAAATGAAGAAACATTATACGTAATGCTTATACACAAGGCTTATTGCCACAGTGAGAAATGGCAGGTGCATAGTGTGTTACTTTATTATAAAAATCAGCATTATAATTTAAGGTCTTATCAGTAACATAAATGGTTTTAAATATATCATTTTTATATTGACAATGCTGGGAATTCTCTTGTACTAGAACAATTTGTTTCCTTAAAAAAAGGTCTTTGAATTAATGATTTTACAAATCTTTTTTGAAAGGGTAAAAATTTTTATTCTAAATTTTGTAACTCTGTAATCATGCTAAAAACTTGATATTCTGATAGCCTGGTGTAAGCCTATTCAAATAATGACATACTTTTCTGATTATTAAATTTAATTTTTTTTCATCGTAAGACAGAATGAGCATTCAATGTGGATTTTCATTTTCCATACCCTTTGCACCATTGAGAAAGAAATGCCATGAAAATGTCCACAAAAACAAGATACAGGCAGATTTAATGTGTAGTCTGTATTTGACTTTCCAGGACTAAATTTCTGCTTAAGTCAGAGTTGGTGGGGTTTTTTTCTGGAGTGGGTGTGAATGATTTTGCTCACAAGGGCTCTTGGGCAGGGCTATGGGCCAGGACCAGCTAATGCCTTTAAACGGCAGTGGATTTTTGCAGCTGAAGGAAAGTTGCATGGAAAGAGTAGGATGGAAAATGCCTGTTATGCATTTACCAGAGTCTAAATCAGCAGAGCTCAGCACAGTCTGGGATCTGTTTGATGAAGCAGGTAAAGACTCATCCTCCACTTTGTCTGCGGGATGGCAGGTCTGGAGCACCACTGAGTTTGCTCCTTATCTTGGTCCTTGGTCTCTCCTGAGATCAACAGCAAACAGGGGTGAATGTTTCTGGGAGGCCTCTGTTATCCTGCTCTCCTCTAGAAAAAGGCTTCACTGCAGAGGTAGCAAAACTAGTTCTAACCAATGCAAAACCACCAGCTAAGGGCTTCAGCCAATACTGGCCAGCTGGGTTCATGAAAAGGTAAAAAAATTATGCTTCTTATGTGCAGATCCTAAATTCTATGACTCGTTGCTTCACAGAGCAGGAGGCAAAGCAATTACCATTGATGACTGAATGTAAAGAAAGGAAAACCCCAAGACAGAAAAGGTTCAGCTGGGAAAGAAGCAGTGAGGGGAATTTCATTACCAGATTTTAACTTCAACATCATCATCTCAGAGAGCTGCCAGGTCAGATATGGCAGCACGAGGCCTGCCCAAGGAGAGAGGGCTTCCCGTCACCCAGCCCAGGAGAGCAGAAGACTGTCAGCACACTGGAACACACTTCCCCATCACCTTTAATAGTCTTTTATCATTATAATGTAATCAGACTCATTAGCAAACTTGGCTGCCTTTTTCCCTCTTCATGGCCGACTCCCGTTCCTGCCAAGCTCTTTATACTCAAAGGAGACACAGCTGAAATGAAAAGGGGCCAAATTTGAATCTAAATAATAATAATAATTCAGTTGCAGTGAAAGAGCTGACCTTTGATTTGTGTAGGCTGTGCCAAGTACTGAGCTCAGGTCTAGGCTCTCACCTGCACTCTTTTCCAGGAACTGTCCCCTGCTTGTGAGAGGGACCACTTTGTTCTCTGTGTTCTCTCTGCGATGATGACATTGCACTTGTGCTTTGCTGGGATGTGTGTTTGTCCAATGTTTCTACCTTGTTTCACATGATAAACCCAGGAAGACAGGAGGAAAACTGTTTTGTTGCCACGCCACTTTCTACAGCCCTAGAGGGAACCGAAACAGGTCCTGCTCCTGGCTAACCTTGCTCGCTACACCCCACCTCTTGCTGCAGAGCTCTTGCTGGCTTGGGCAGAGAGCGAGTGACCTGTCTCTCTGGTATTGCCTACGCCTTTAGTTGTATGCAGCCAGGAGAGCAACACCTGGTTCCTAATCCTGACTGCATGGTGATGTGGGTGTGAGTAACACAGACAGAACAGAGCTCTTGTAGGAAGACAATGTATTTATGAAACATGAGGAAGAATCAGTATATCCCCCAGCTCTAACAGAGAGGTGGCCCAGGAGTCGTCTTGAAGGCACAGAGCCACTTTAAGGCAGATAATTCAAAGGTACAATTCAGATTTTGAACACAAGGCATTGGTATCTAAAAACAACCAACTTGAGACATTTTAGATGTTCATACCAGGCAAATGTTACAGACAACGACAAAAAAGTCACACTGTATTTTCCGCACAATACATTTCTCTCAGAATAAAAGCCAACGCTTTTTTCCCTTTGCTGACCTGAAAAACAAAGCCTTGGCCCCACAATTTATAGTCCTGAAGACAGCATTTGTGTCAGCATTTGTGGGCAGATCCCCCTTGCCATACCAGGGTCCCCAGCCTGGCCACATCCTGCCCCAGGGAAGGTCTCTGCTGCAGCATGGCCCATCATCTTAAAAGGATCCTGGTGACAGAAATGAGATCACTGCTGGAGGAGTCAGCTTCCAGCCATGGTGAAGCCAGGTTCCCTCTTGCTTTCCATGAGCTGTGCCAGACCCAGAAATGAGCCCTCCTCGCAGCAGCAGTGCATGCCATGCAACACTAGTGATAGAGCAAACCACCTTCTGATCAGGGACTGTGGTGGCCTGGCCACTGCCCTGCATGGCCACATCCTTTCAGTGCATGGCTGTGGGACCACCCGCTCCTGCCGTGCTCCCTGCTCTCCCCCTCTTCATTACTCTATTTGGGGTGAAAAGCTGCAGGTGGTTTTAGAAGAGGGGCAGCAGCTTCAGAGCAAAGCCTGGTACTGCTGCTGCAAGTTTTGCTGCTGGCCAGCAAGCTGGGGAGCATGTAGCCCCTTCTCTCCCTACAACCCACAGCGGTCTCTTAGCACATGGGCTGGAAGACAGCTTTTGTCCCTATGGGTTCTCTCTAAGCTCCTCCATGGAAGCTGCCAACTACTGCCAAGTAGTACTAATCACATTTACTACTGCAATGCTTAAATACCACTAAGAATCCCCACTGTGCTTGAAATGGAAGAATATTTGTGATAGCAACTTTGACAGTGGTGATACTGGCCATCAGAAAACTGGACTGAAACCCACTAACTGCCTACATCTCCACCAAGGAGTCCTCATGAGGTAAACAGTTCTGCTTGCCACTGACCTGGTTTACAAGCGATGAAGGAGGGAGCACAGTCACAGCTAAAGCATGGGGGTTAAATCCCCAAATTGTGCTGGGAGTGCTGGAGTGAGGGCTGCCACCTACTTTCCAGCCTACTCTTTCCTGATTGTCTTCTCTGGTGAGAAAGAGGGGTTACTCCTATCATTTAAGCCAAGTGAGTTGCCTTCTGGATGCACTTAATTATTGCCAGTGTCTGCAGATGAACACCAGCTGCTAATTTCAGGTGCTGCAGACCACATCTAAGCTGGATGTGAAAGCAC